GAACTTACCTCTCAAACAATCTAACCTTACACCTAAAGGAACTAGAGAAAGAAGAACAAACAAAACCCATAGTTAGTACAAGGAAAGAAATCATAAAGATCAGAGCAGAAATAAATAAAATAGAGACTGAAAAACAATAGTAAAGATCAGTGGCATTAAAAGCTGTCTCTTTGAAAAGAAACAAAATTGATAAACCTTTATCCAGACTCAACAGGAAAAAAAAAGAGGGCCAAAATCAACAAAATCAGAAATGACAAAGAAGTTACAAATGGCCATAAGAGACTACTTCAAGCAATTATATGCCAATAAAATGCATAACCTAGAAGAAATGGAAAAATTCTTAGAAATGTACAATCTCCCAAGACTGAACTAGGAAGAAATAGAAAATATGAACAGACCAATTACCAGTAATGAAATTGAATCAGTAATTAAACTAACAAACAAAAGTCCAGGACCAGATACCTTCATAGGTGAATTCTACCAATCATTTAGAGAAGAGGTACCACCTGTCCTTCTGAAACTATTCTAAAAAAACTGCAGAGGAAGAAACACTTGCAAACTCATTCTCTGAGGCCACCATCACCCTGATACCAAAACCAGACAAAGATGCCACAAAGAAAATTACAGGCCAATATCAGTGATGAATATAGATGCAAAAATCCTCAACAAAATATAAGCAAACTGAAACCAACAATACATTAAAAGGATCATACACCATGATCAGGTGGGATTTATCCCCAGGATGCAAGGATTTTTCAATATCTGCAAGTCAATCAACCCGATATACCACATTATCATGTGGTTTTTATCCTTCAATTTGTTAATCTCAAATGACACAGAAAAAGCTTTTGATAAAATTCACCATCCTTTTATGATAAAAACTCTCCAGGAAGTGGGCATAGAGGGAATATACCTTAACATAATAAAGGACATATATGACAAACCCACAGCTAACATACTCAACTGTGAAGAGCTAAACACATTCCCTTTAAGATCAGGAATAAGACAACGATGCCCACTCTTGCCACCTTTATTCAAAAGTTTTGGAAGTCCTAGCCATATCAGAGAAGAAAAAGGAATAAAAGGAATCCAAATTGGAAAGGAAGCAGTAAAACTGTCTCTGTTTGCAGATGACATGATACTATATATAGAAAATCCTAAAGATGCTACCAGAAAACTACCAGAGTTCATCAATGAATTCGGTAAAATTACAGGATACAGAATTAATACACAGAAATCTGTTGCATTTCTATACACTAACAATGAAATATCAGAAAGAGTAATTAAGGAAACAATCCCATTTACTATTGCATGAAAAAGAATAAAATACCTAGGAATAAACCTACCTAAGGAAGCAAAAGTCCTGTACTCCAAAAACTATAATATGCTGATGAAAGAAATTGAGAATGACACAAACGGAAAGATATGTGTTCTTGGATTGGAAGAATCAATATTGTAAAAATGACCATACTTCCCAAGGCAGTCTACAGATTCAGTACAATCCCTAGCAAACTACCAATGGTATTTTTCACAGAACTAAAACAAAAAAATTTTTAATTTGTGTAGAAACATAAAACCCTGAAATGCCAAAGGAATCTTGAGAAAGAAAAACAGAGCTGGAGGAATCGGGCTCACTGACTACAGACTATACTACAAAGCTATAGTCATCAAAACAATATGGTACTGATACAAAAACAGACACATAGATCAAGGAAGAGGATAGAAAGCCCAGAAATAAACCCATGCAGCTATGGTCAATTAATCTATGACAAAGGAGGCAAGGATATACAATGGAGAAAAGACAGTCTCTTCAATAAGTGGTGCTGGGAAAACTGGACAGCTACATGTAAAATAATGAAATTACAACATTCTGTAATAACCTTTACCAAAAAAAAAAAAAACTCAAAATGGATTAAATGCCTAAGAGTGGATACTATAAAACTCCTAGAGGAAAATATAGGCAGAACACATAAACTGCAGCAATACTTTTTTGTATCCATCTCGTAAAGTAAAAGAAATAAATAAAAGCAAAAATAAACAAATGGGACCTAATTAAACTTAAAAGCTTAAAAGCAAAGGGAACCATCAATAAAATGAAAAGACAACCTACAGAATGGGAGAAAATATTTACAAATGATGTGATTGACAAGGGGTTAATTTCTAAAATATACCAATAGCTTATACCACTCAATGTTGAAACAAAACCAAATACCCCAATCAAAAAAAAATGAACAGAAGACCTAAATAGACATTTCTCCACAGAAGACATATAGATGGCCAAAAGGCACATGAAAAGATGCTCAACATTGCTAATTATTAGAGAAATGCACATCAAAACTACAATAGGTATCACCTCACACCGGTCAGAATGGTCGTCATCAAAAAGTCTACAAATAGGGACTTCCCTGGTGGCACAGTGGTTAAGAATCCACCTGCTAACGCAGGGGACATGGGTTTGATCCCTAGTCCGGGAAGATCCCACATGCCGTGGAGAAACTAAGCCCATGTGCCACAACTACTAAGCCTGCATGCCACAACTACTGGAGCCCGTGCTCTGCAACAAGAGGAGCCACTGCAGTGAGCAGCCCATGCACCGCAACAAAGAGTAGCTCCCACTCGCTGCAACTAGAGAAAGCCTGCGCACACAGCAATGAAGACCCAACACAGCCAAAGCAAATTTAAAAAAAAGGTCTACAAATAGTAAATGCTGGAGAGGGTGTGGAGAAAAGGGAACCCTCCTATGCTGTAGGTTGGAATGTAAATTCGTAGAGCCACTATGGAGAACAGTCTGGAGGTTCCTTAAAAATGTAAAAACAGTTACCATATGATCCAGCAATCCCACTTCTGGGTATATATCTGGAAAAGATGAAAACTCTGGCTGGAAAAGATACAAGCACCCCTATGTTCATAGCAGCACTATTCACAATAGCCAAGACATGGAAGCCACCTAAATGTCCATAGACAGATGAATGGATAAAGAATACATGATACACAGACACACACACACATACAATATACAATGGAATACTACTCAGCCATAAAAAAGAATGAAATAATGCCATTTGCACCAACATGGATGGACCCAGGGATTATCATACTAAGTGAAGTAAGTCAGACAGAAAGACAAATATCACACAATATCACTTATACATGGATTCTAAAAATACGATACAAATGAACTTATTTATAAAACAAATAGGCTCACAAAGAAAACAAGCTTATGGTTACCAAAGGGGATAGCAGGGCTGGGGGAGATAAATTAGGAGTTTGGGATTAACAGATACATGCTACTATGTGTAAAATAAACAACAAGGAACTACTGTATGGCACAGGGAACTATATTCAATACCTTGTAATACCTATAATGGAATAGAATCTGAAATATACATATATATAAATAACTGAATTACTTTGCTGTACATCTGAAACACTGTAAGTCAACTGTACTTCAATTTAAAACAAAACATTCGGGAAACAGAACCAACTCTCAGGTGGGACGTGGTCACTCAGTGCCTTACACAGTAATATTTCAACTATGACACTCTGGCTTATTAATCTCTAATAAAAACTTTGTAGTCATCATTCTCAAAAAATGCTCTTTATTCATTCATGTATTATTGCATTTAATGCTCACTTCATACCCATGAACAGAGGAAGCAGAAAGATAATTCCTTCACAGATGAAGAGTTTGAGATCCATAACAAAGTCCTTCTTCCCAATTAACAGCGAGTGAACAGAAGATCAAAAACCAGCTCTGCTTTCAGCTCTCCAACTTTACCCTTCTTTCTTGAAGACAGTGTTCAGCCCTCATTTTCACGTTTATTGTTATTAAAAATATCTTTAGCAACAAACTTAAAGTATAACCAAAAATCCATACTTTAAAATGTAAAGAAATTATATTTACATATAATTTTTCACATTAACTCATTCAAACTGTAACTGTTATATTACAGGTGTTGGTTGAAACATCTAAGCATCTTAGCATTTTGTCTTCATATCATGCAAACTAAGTCCTAACCACTTTCAAGCACTACTGATACCAGGAGACATTCCACCAGTAATTATTCAATTGGAAAATTTCATTGAAACAATCTGAATAAATCATTTTTGCTGCAAGATTACATCCACTAAAATGTCATGAAGACGAGTGGGTAAGTAATAAACAAATTTGCAAATTGTGTTAAAGGTCAGGCCCCCTATTAACATGGACTAAATCAATCTCAATAAAAGACATTTTTAAAATAAGAAAAAAATAATTCAAGTGGCCCAAATACATATACTTTGTTGCTATGATTAATTACATGGGCATCTGTATTAGGATTGGTAAAAGCAGCATGTGGAAGAAGAAATAAGGTACAAGACCTAGGAAAACTACTTGAAAGGAACAAGGCTAAGATGGTCACTCAGAGAATGGGCAGTATTTCCTCCTGCTGGGGCAGGTGAAAAGGAGAACCAGTGTGTGTCTGTGTCACGATTATTCAAGTCTACACCTCATCCCATGAAGTGTAGCTTGGGCTGCAGTTCACAGAATAAACAAATTGTGACTAGCGCAATTTTTTTTTTTTTACATCTTTATTGGAGTATAATTGCTTTACAGTGGTGTGTTAGTTTCTGCTTTATAAAAAAGTGAATCAGTTATACATATACACATGTTCCCATATCTCTTCCCTCTTGCGTCTCCCTCCCTCCCACCCCTCTAGGTGGTCACAAAGCACTGAGCTGATCTCCCTGTGCTATGCGGCTGCTTCCCACTACCTAGTTTACGTTTGGTAGTGTATGTATGTCCATGCCACTCTCTTGCTTTGTCACAGCTTACCCTTCCCCCTCCCCATACCCTCAAGTCCATTCTCTAGTAGATCTGTGTCTTTATTCCCATCTTACCCCTAGGTTCTTCATGACATTTTTTTTCTTAAATTCCATATATATGTGTTAGCATACGGTATTTGTCTTTCTCTTTCTGACTTACTTCACTCTGTATGACAGACTCTAGGTCCATCCACCTCATTACAAATAGCTCAATTTCGTTTCTTTTTATGGCTGAGTAATATTCCATTGTATATATGTGCCACATATTCTTTATCCATTCATCCAATGATGGACACCTAGGACAATTTTGATATAACACCATTCTTAAGAATATATTATATTTTATCAATCTTTTTCTCACATGCACAAACACACACACAGTCATAGAGGTAATTCTGAAACAAAGAGAAAATCAGAACTCACAGTTTACCACAAATGCACACCATCCAACTCAGAAACCCAGGTGCTCCAGAATCCACAGAAGGCGTGAAAATGGTGCTCAGAGAGCACCATTTTCAGCTCTGGTTTTTGCTTTTTTGAATGGTGTCCCTAATATCCTTTTCCAGTTCCAGTAAGTTTTGGTAAAATTTTTCAGCAGTGTCTTCATCTAGGTCTATCTGGAAAAGAAACAAAGTTAGGGATGACTACGAAGGAAAAATGAAATGAATAGTATTTGAATAAAAGGAAGCCATTTAAATAACACAGGTAAGAGAACCCAAAATAGGGCCAGTTGGAGTGGGCTGTGGTGGCAGCCATGTGGGGAATGTTAGGAATCCTGAGGACACATTAACTCTCCATCCAAACTCCAACACTCACCAAGCCTACTGATGCTTCCCTTAAATAGCAAGACAAAGATCTGAGCTTTGCTGTCTCCCCTAACTGCTGTGTACCTAGTAACAGAAGACACCAAACATCTGTGATATAAAAAAGGCCAAGAGAGGAAAATCAAGACATTTTTTTTAATTCCAACTGCTACTTACTTCCTAATATCCACATTCTTTAGTAAAAGAGCCCTGATCTTAGCTGAGCTCACTGCTCTGCAGATGAAAGACTACATTTCCAGCCTACACTGAAGTTAGTGGTACCAGGTGACCATGTTCTGGCCAATGAGATGTAAGTGGAAGTGTTGTATGGTACCTATCCAGGACTCTCTTTAAAAGGAATGGGGCACCCCTTTCTTTCTCCCTTCTTCCATGCTGCTCCCCTGAGCTATAAGGATGAGGGCCACACCTCAGGGATAACAGAAGGAACCTGGGCACCTGACAATTTGCAGAGCTGCCAGGCCAGCCTAAGGTTGCCTCTCCAAACTGCTTTACATGAGAGAAACCTAAGCTTTTATCTTGTTTAATCCACTATTATTTTACACTCTTCTGTTTTATGTAGAAAATCTAATTTTAACTTACACACTGTACATAAAAGCAAACTTTCAGCCCCTATAAAGTGTTTCTTATCTCTTTCCAAGTCAACACAGAGCCTAAACTTAAAAAAAAAAAAAGCCTCTTTCTTCATGAAGCTAAAAGGCTAAAAAATGAAAAAACTTTATAACATTTTGGAAAAAATATTTCTATTCGTTCAATCATATTAGTGTTTTTCCATGTTGTAACTGGAAAAGACATTATAGCTCTCTTTAGTTCAACCCAACCTTTAAACAGAGCAGAGAGCTGACTTTCCAAAATTAATCAAAGGTTAAAACATATTCTGCAGTGCTGGGAAAATAGCGGAAGAGTAAGACATGGAGATCACCTTCCTCCCCACAGATACACCAGAAATACATCTACACGTGGAGCAACTCCTACAGAACACCTACTGAATGCTGGCAGAAGACCTCAGACCTCCCAAAAGGCAAGAAACTCCCCACGTACCTGGGTAGGGCAAAAGAAAAAAAGAGAAAAACAGAGACAAAAGAATAGGGACAGGACCTGCACCAGTGGGAGGGAGCTGTGAAGGAGGAAAGGTTTCCACACACTAGGAAGCCCCTTCGCGGGCGGAGACTGCGGGAGGCAGAGGGGGGGAGCTTCGGGGCCGCGGAGGAGAGCACAGCAACAGGGGTGCGGAGGGCAAAGTGGGGAGATTCCCGCACAGAGGATCAGTGCCGACCGGCACTCACCAGCCCGAGAGGCTTGTCTGCTCACCCGCCGGGGTGGGCGGGGCCGCAAGCTGAGGCTCCGGCTTTGGTCGGAGCACAGGGAGAGGACTGGGGTTGGCGGCTTGAACATAGCCTGAAGGGGTTAGTGCACCAAGACTAGCCAGGAGGGAGTCCGGGGAAACGTCTGCACCTGCCGAAGAGGCAAGAGAATTTTTCTTCCCTCTTTGTTTCCTGGTGCGCGAGGAGAGGGGTTTAAGAGTGCTGCTTAAAGGAACTCCAGAGACAGGCGCGAGCCGCGGCTAAAAGCACAGACCCCAGAGACAGGCGCGAGCCGCGGCTAAAAGCATGGACCCCAGAGACGGGCAGGAGACGCTAAGGCTGCTGCTGCTGCCACCAAGGGGCCTGTGTGCGAGCACAGGTCACTATCCACACCCCTCTTCCAGGGAGCCTGTGCAGCCCGCCACTGCCAGGTTCCTGGGATCCAGGGACAACTTCCCCGGGAGAACACACGGCTGGCCTCAGGCTGGTGCGACGTCACGCCGGCCTCTGCCGCCGCAGGCCCACCCTGCACGCAGTGCCCCTCCCTCTCCCCGGCCTGAGTGCGCCAGAGCCCCCGAATCAGTGGCTCCTTTAACCCTGTCCTGTCTGAGCAAAAAACAGACGCCCTGCAGCGACCTACATGCAGAGGCGGGGCCAAATCCAAAGCTGAGCCCCTGGGAGCTGTGAGAACGAAGAAGAGAAAGGGAAATCTCTCCCAGCAGCCTCAGAAACAGCGGATTAAAGCTCCACAATCAACTTGATGTACCCTGCATCTGTGGAATACATGAATAGACAACGAATCATCCCAAATTAAGGAGGTGGACTTCGAGAGCAAGATCTATGATTTTTTCCCCTTTTCCTCTTTTTCTGAATGTGTATGTGTATGCTTCTGTGTGAGATCTTGTCTGTATAGCTTTGCTTCCACCATTTGTCCTAGGGTGCTATCCGTCCATTGTTTTTTTTTTAATTTTTTCTTAATAATTTTAATTTTAATAACTTTATTGTATTTTACCTTCTTTCTTTCTTCCCTTCCTTCCCTCCTTTATTCTTTCTTTCTTTCTTCCCTTCCTTCCCTCCTTTAGACAACGAGTCATCCCAAATTGAGGAGGTGGACTTTGAGAGCAAGATTTATGATTTTTTCCCCTTTACCTCTTTTTGTGAGGGTGTATGTGTATGCTTCTGTGTAAGATTTTGTCTGTATAGCTTTGCTTCCACCATTTGTCCTAAGGTTCTATCCATCCCTTCTTTTTCCTAAATAATTATTTTTTAATTCAATAAATTTATTATACTTTTATTTTACTGTATCTTCTTTCTTTGTCTTTTTTCCTTCCTTCCCTCCTTCCTTCCTTCCTCTCTCCCTCCCTCCTTTCTTTCCCTCTTGCCTTCTTTCCTTTTTTTCTTTCTTTGTTTCCTTCTTCCTTTATTTCTTCCTTCCTTCCCTTTCTTTCTTTCTTCCTTCCTTCCTGCCCTCCTTTCTTTCTTTCTTCCTACTTCTACTAATTCTCTCTACTTTTTCTCCCTTTTATTCTGAGCCGTGTGGATGAAAGGCTCTTGGTGCTCCAGCCAGGAGTCAGGGCTCTGCCTCTGAGGTGGGAGAGCCAACTTCAGGACACTGGTCAACAAGAGACCTCCCAGCTCCACATAATATCAAACAGCGAAAATCTCCCAGAGGCCTCCATCTTAACACCAGCACCCAGCTTCACTCAACGACCAGCAAGCTACAGTGCTGGACAACCTATGCCAAACAACTAGCAAAACAGGAACACAACCCCACCCATTAGCAGAGAGGCTGCCTAAAATCATAATAAGGCCACAGACACCCCAAAACACACCACCAGATGTGAACCTGCCCACTAGAGAGACAAGATCCAGCCTCATCCACCACAACACAGGCACTAGTCCCCTCCACCAGGAAGCCTACGCAACCCACTGAACCAACCTTAGCCACTTGGAGACAGACATCAAAAACAACGGGAACTACGAACCTGCAGCCTGCAAAAAGGAGACCCCAAACACAGTAAGATAAGCAAAATGAGAAGACAGAAAAACACAGCAGATGAAGGAGCAAGATAAAAATGCACCAGACCTAACAAATGAAGAGGAAATAGGCAGTCTACCTGAACAAGAATTCAGAATAATGATAGTAAAGATGATCCAAAATCTTGGAAACAGAATGGACAAAATGCAAGAAACATTTAACAAGGACATGGAAGAAATAAAGATGAAACAAGCAACGATGAACAACACAATAAATGAAATTAAAAATACTCTAGATGGGATCAATAGCAGAAAAACTGAGGCAGAAGAACGGATAACTGACCTGGAAGACAAAATAGTGGAAATAACTACTGCAGAGCAGAATAAAGAAAAAAGAATGAAAAGAACTGAGGACAGTCTCAGAGACCTCAGGGACAACATTAAACACACCAACATTCGAATTATAGGGGTTCCAGAAGAAGAAGAGAAAAAGAAAGGGACTGAGAAAATATTTGAAGAGATTATACTTGAAAACTTCCCTAATATGGGAAAGGAAATAGTTAATCACGTCCAGGAAGCCCAGAGAGTCCCACACAGGATAAATCCAAGGAGAAATATGCCAAGACGCATATTAATCAAACTGTCAAAGATTAAATACAAAGAAAGCATATTAAAAGCAGCAAGGGAGAAACAACAAATAACACACAAGGGAATCCCCATAAGGTTAACAGCTGATCTCTCAGCGGAAACTCTGCAAGCCAGAAGGAGTGGCAGGACATACTGAAAGTGATGAAGGAGAAATACCGGCAACCAAGACTACTCTACCCAGCAAGGATCTCATTCAGATTTGATGGAGAAATTAAAACCTTTACAGACAAGCAAAAGCTGAGAGAGTTCAGCACCACCAAACCAGCTTTACAACAAATGCTAAAGGAACTTCTGTAGGCAAGAAACACAAGAGAAGGAAAAGACCTATAATATAGAACCCAAAACAATTTAGAAAATGGGAATAGGAACATACATATCAATAATTACCTTAAATGGAAATGGACTAAATGCTCCCACCAAAAGACACAGACTGGCTGAATGGATACAAAAACAAGACCCATACATATGCCGTCTACAAGAGACCCACTTCAGACCTAGAGACACATACAGACTGAAAGGAAGGGGATGGAAAAAGATATTCCATGCAAATGGAAACCAAAAGAAAGCTGGAGTAGCAATTCTCATATCCAACAAAATAGACTTTAAAATAAAGTCTATTAGAAGAGACAAAGAAGGACACTACATAATGATCAAGGGATCGATCCAAGAAGAAGATATAACAATTGTAAATATTTATGCACCCAACACAGGAGGACCTCAATACATAAGGCAAATACTAACAGCCATAAAAGGGGGAATCGACAGTGACACATACATAGTAGGGGACTTTAACACCCCACTTTCACCCATGGACAGATCATCCAAAATGAAAATAAATAAGGAAACACAAGCTTTAAATGATACATT